AAAAAAAAAACTGTCCAGATGACCTAACTGACCATTATTGGATTTTGTACCTGGATGACTGAGCATGAACTTTGAAACCTAATATATTGTACTGTAAATGTGAAAAAATACAATGAAAAACAACCACCAACACACAAGGAACAACAAACTCACTTTTACAAGTAAAGACAGCTTCAACTTTTTGAAAATTTTGAGCTAATAAAGTAAATAAAAACCAAAGCTCACAACGAGCCATAACCACAGACTACTCAAAAAGCGTTCAATACAAAAACAACTGGACTTTATTTGTAACAGAAGACGTTTCGCTCCTCATCCGAGGAGCTTTCTCAATTCAAAGAGCAGAGAGTGAGAGATTCAGGTGAATCTTACCTGAATCTCTCACTCTCTCCATTTCTCCATTTGATGAACAAGATAGAACGTTTAATGTGAAACACATCCAGCCTCCTAATGTCACCTTTATACAGGCACCAGGTTTCAGCGGCCTATACAAAAAAAATCAGTACTATAACACAGTAAACTGTAAGCTTCATCTGCAGTGTGATGTCATGAGATTTCCACATGCGCTGATTTAACGTGCCGAAGGTGGCAGCAGCTCCCTCTATATGCGCAGAGATTTTGGACGCAAGACGGTTGTCATTTCTTATCTGGCAGCCCAGATAATGGAAGTTGGTGACTTCTCCCAGGTTTATCCCATCAATGTTTAGCATGTTAGCATCAGGATCACAGCCTCTTGGAGGCTGTTTAAGTATCTGGGTCTTGATGATACTTATAACTAATCCAAACTTAAGACACGATTCCTGCAAGGCAATGACATAGCTCTGTAAAGCTTCCATTCTGTTCGCCATTAGGCATATGTCATCGGCATACACATTGACCCCAGGAAATAGGCACCAGATTCCCTGAGACCCTGCACGGAACAAGCAAGTAACTAAAATGAATGGAATGGAAAGCACTGACTGATGATTTTTTTTTTTTCCAATTTTCCATAAAATAAATGGAGTCGGAATTAAAGTTAGTCATTAATACATTCAAAACAAAAACTAAATTAAATAAGCATCTAGAAAAAAAATCCTGGTATTACACATTTGTTACATGTATTTTTTGTGATTTTTGTACCTTTTAAACTTAGCAGTTTTCAGACTAAAGCTTAGTTTTAATTTACAATACAATTTATATTTTACAATTTATGGGTATTTTAGAGATGCACCGAATTTAACTGTTTATCTGAATTAGATTAAATTTGATTTCACTGGGCTGTGTGAATTGAGTAAAAAAATGATTTGGTTTTGTTAAGTTTAAACTATAAGTAGCATCAGTAGGGATGGGCTAAATCTCCTAAATGAATCTGTCAACATAATGACCACTGAACGAGAGACACGTCTGTTTGTATATGAAGCAGCTTTTATTTTCTACAGCAAAGAGCTATTGAATGACTCTGAAAAGCCAGTGCCAAATTTCTGAGTAGGAAGACAAGAGAGCATGACATAAACACACAAAAAGCAGTTTTACTCTGAGTGTATACATTTTAATGACATGGCGTAGGGACACCTGCATGTGTTTAAGCATCCACGGATAAGCACGTGTAAGAATTTAATTTCCTTCAGTATGTATATCTATATCACGTGCATGTGCTTAAAAGAGGCTTCTGAATTTGACCTGTTTGACCACTACCTAAACTCAAATAAACAAAGCATCTCTTTAATGGTGTAAATGTGACAGTGCAATGACTCACTGCCTCTGATCTTCCATATAAACTGTGAAGTCAGCAGCTGCAGCCAAGAAGCAAAGCTTCGAGGAACCAGATCAACCAGGCATATCCAGAAGCTTTTTGCTCCTTTAAAGAATCTTCTTGAATAAATTTAGTTTTGATTTCCTGTGGGCTTTTGTTGGCACACTTTCATTGTCTGCTAAGTCCTAGAGGACTAGTGCTCATTCAGTGTTACTCAAATCAAGTTTTGCTTCAGGTTGCAGTTTATATCCTGATATGGAAGGTTATGAATAAAAAAAAAAATATGCACAGTCTTGGATCCCTTACACTGTACATTTTAACACTGTAGCAAAAACTGTACTGTAAAATCATGACAAATACTGTATATAGTAAAGTACACATATGTGCATATAGGGCCACAGTGAATGAATGTTTGCCATAATTAACAATAACTACAGCTGCAGCAAAAAGCTTGAAATTTGCCCCAAATATGGCAGATTCTAAACAGAAATAAAAACAACAGTAATATTAGTTATTACAGTTCAAAAATATAGAAAGTTTGCTAAAATTATCAACAACAACAAAAAAGTTGTGATAAAGACCAAATGAAACTGTTATAAAAAGCTAAATATATTATCCCATGCATAAAACTGAAGGGGGGGAAAAAAAAAATGCTTCTTCCTTTCTGGGTCACGAGGGTCACTGGTGCCCGTATCTAGCAGTCGCTGTGTGAGAGGCGGGGTACACCCTGGACAGCTCACAAGTTCATCACAGGGACTCGGAGACAAACAAGACAAACAACCATTCACTCTCTCACACCTCATGCTGATTTAGTCACCGATTACACTAACATGCATGTTTTTGTTCTGTGGGAGAAAACCGGAGTACCCGAAGAAAATCCATGAGTTCACGAGAGGAACGTGCTAACCCCACACATAAAGGTCTGAGACGAACCTTTGAACTTGTTACGGTGAGGCAACAACTTCAACAACTGTGCTGCGGTGCCACCCTGCAATAAATTATACTGTAAATGCAAAATCAAATATACTGTACAGTGCAAGAAGTCTATTGTGCTTGCATTAACTGTTGTAGAGGTAATGCACAATCTATGTAGAGTTAGGAATGCACTGAGGTATAGGAATCATGAATCATAGGAAAGCAGCGGTCACTTTGAGTCAGGGCTCAGAACAAATGGATGATGCTCCAGTTGCCAGAGAGAGCAACTCACATCTTGAAATCATAAATTCACAATCTACTCTGGTCCTTCTCAAAGAACTTGGTGTGTACTCCTGTGATTGATTATAGTTTCAGCAAGTTTTGGAATTATAGTAAAAAAGGGGGAAATTTCTGTTAATAATATGCATGAGTGCAGGACTTCAAAAAATTATTTCCAAAACTATCCACACTGTTAGTATAATAAGTGGCCTTCGGTATGTGACCTACTAATCTTGGGTGAGAATTGTGCTCTTATTGTGACAGATCTAAAGATTAAAAGTCAACCAGCCAAGATCCAAGGTGAAAAATATTCCAAGGATAAAATAAACGTGTCATGGTTGTGTTTGTACAAATCATATTTGGGGCAAATTACTCATGTTTTGCAGCATTTTGTCTTATTTAGGGAGTTGTTACAATTGGTTTATCGTTACCTAGGAGGAGAAAAATAAGGCAATGTAAAGTAAGATAGAGTAACTTAATCAAACTACCCATGGCTTAGGTGCTAATTACCCAATGGGACACAATATTTCATTCAGAGATGTATTTAGTAACTAAGAAACTTCTGAAATTTTGTATTGCTGTCATGACCTGCACTTGTTTGAACCCAAATGTAGGCGGGACTCTGAGAACTCAGGAATAAAGTAAATGTATTTTATTAAAATAAACATAAAGGGCTGACGTGGCAGCAAAACTTACATAAATGAAGTGAAGACACAGAGGGAGACAGCTACTACAGGCCAATCCACAGACGGGAACAATAAGGAAATGCAGAATATATAGAGACACTAACAAGGGGATAAGCACAAACACCTGGGGAAGGGCAACAGGTGGCAGAGGCAGGAGCTGATTGGAGAAACACTGACGAGGGCAGGACAGAAGGATCACAAAACACACAGAGATCATTTCAAATTGCGTGATCTCGAGTTTATTGCATAACAGTTTAGAACTGTGTGAAATATAGTAGAGAAATCTGCTTTATCCAGCTGAGAGCAGGCTTGTTTATAACTCCAAACCCAGGGCAGTAGACAAACTGCAGTGGACCCTTAGTTATTTGTTTTCAGGTGGGTCAATAACTGTTTTTTTTGTTTGTTTGTTTGTTTCAGTCTTTTATGACGTGAGATGTTGGGACTACTGGTTAGTATTTATCAAGGTGGATGGATGAGATTGTTTAAAAGTATTAGAATACAACATTGTTCAGATATCTACATTCGCCTTTGAGCAATGTCTAAGTGATGTTGTCAAAGATTTGGTTTGTTTATAATTTAACACTTTGGTGGAAAATGGAAAAAAAATAAAAAGGTGCAACAAAAATATTTCCGTTTAGTTTAGACGTAAAACAATCTGTTAGTGTAATCTAACACTGTCGAGGTTTTGAGCCATGCGCCATGGGAAGAGGAGGGCACCAATGCTGCCAGGGTTAGAGGTTTAACTCCCAGTGGAGCCCCAAACATTTTTAAAAAACTGTGTTTCCACGGCACTATGAGCAACCTCTGATTAAAGTCTTCACCAACTGGTTTACGTTACACACACTGTAAATACAAACTTCCACAATTTCACACAAAAATGTGAGACAAAAAACACGGGGATCTAAAACTTGAGGAAAAGCTCAAAGCAGATGGTAGACTATGCTACAGGATGCTAAATGTTCTTTTAATGAGCTGTCAGAAAGCCGTTTGGGGGTGAGAAGGTTATGTGTATGAACCGTCTGAAAGAGTCAATACAAAGTCAGCACTGTCTGGATCCAGTGGCCAATATGACACAACGATAAGAGCTGAAAAAATAAAAGTCAGCATGCATTTATCACTCGCTCCACTCACTCACTGCCAGCGGACATCAAGTATTTATGTGTAGGAATCTGTTCAGAATACAGTCTAAAAGTAGCAGAAAATATTAAAAACAAATGTGTTGTGCAAGTTTAACAATTAAAAAAAATCTCAAACCAATTATATGTTGTGTTTGTCAATTCAAGAAGTAACCTAAATACATATTTTTAGAAAAGGCATATAAAACAATTACTTAAAAAAAACAGACTCCTCGCCAACACAAACAGGCATAAAAAGAACGGCAGCTGACTGACCCATAAACTCCAGGACAAACTGGTCTTGAGTAACAGCCAACGGAGGCTGGACACAAATGGACAGCTTAGACGACTGTAGAGGGGAACTGGCCTTTATTTTCACCTGCAGAGAAGATAATACTGAGTTATTTATATTTCTCCATGGGAGAAGTGTATAAAATTAGCAAAGGAATTACTGGTAATGGCTTACCTGTACAGTCACTGAAGGGACAGGGAGACCATCGATGTCTTGGATAAGAGCTTGCTGTAAAGAACAATTAACAGAATGAAGCGTCTCAGTGTGTATGCCTTTATGTATTAATGTGTAAATAAAAGCACTTGAATCTGTTTGATTTAGGTTTGTTCACCGATGGTTTGTCTAGGCTGGAGGAAACAGTGACTGTGACAGAGAGGTCCTCCACTGAGTCGGTTTTGGGGAGGATGTCTAAAATCAGATAAATAATTTTTTTAATAATGAGCCACCGATGTTTCACAGTCAGCATTTCACAAATGTAAGTTATTAAGTAACTTCAATTGGTTAATCTACCAGGAAGCATTCAAAACTATTTGTAACTTATGATTCAAAACAAAAGAGGAGGAAAAAAAATCAGCTTCATTTCTGATTGTTACCTGAAGACACCATTTTATGCTCAAGTACATTATCTTCACATGCTTACAATCACTTTGTAAGGAAATTTTCATTTTGTATATAGTCATAGAGATTGAGTATATGCATTCAGATTATTAGTAGACCCTTTAACACTTCTTATAATCTTCTACCTTGAGTCCGGGTGGCCTCTCTGATGAACCTCTGCAGTTTCTTCATCTCAGCATCCACCTGCTCGTAGTCAACCTCCCTGGCATCTACCTTGGGTGTTGAGAAGAAGGAGGGGTCGGTACCCATATATGAGCACAGTAGATGTCCATCTGGGCTCAGACTGACCACAACCCCCTTCAGCTCCCTTAGGAATAAAAGATGAGAAGGTTTATATGATAAAGTTTACTATTTGTTTTGAACCTGTGCTTCCTTGTTGGGTCTAAATGACCCCTGAGTTCTGTTTTAAAACCGAGACCTCAGGGGTTATTTTGACCAAAGGACAGCAGGATGCTTATGTTTCTTTGTAGTGCAGCATTGATCTGAAGTTCACACGGAGTGTGAAGTTTTGTTCTGACTTTTGAATATGGAAATTGATGATAAGAGGGAGAGCATAAAAAATTCAGAGTGATGCAATACTGTTTTAACTATATGGTAACAGGTTGCAGATGTGTTCATGCCTGCGTCATTTCTGTTCCAGGCTAGTGAGACTGCAACACACACATCCACATAAAGACACAAATTCAAATACACAGGACAGGGTTCAGGTTGAGTGAGGCAGCCAGCTTCACACCTGCACAAGAAAGAGTCTAAGGAGGCATAAAACGTTCAAAGTTACTGCTGTAGTATTACGCAATTTGCTAAAAGTATGAACATATTGATAAAGTTAGTAAAAGTTGCCTTCGTATGCAGCTGTTGCACTGGGAGTAAACAAAAGTGACATTGTGTGCTTTGAAAAAAACATGCCAGAGTTGCAAAATTTAAATTTCCACATTTACATCATGAAATGTGAGTAAAAAATAGCAGGTCAGTGTGGTCTATATATTTTTTTCCACCCAGCTGACTCTTTTATTCCCACACACAGTATGTTGATTGCTCTATGACCACCTTCACGATCAGCTCTGAGGTGCAACGAGCTTTCATTCTGTCTTTGTAATTTACACAAGTGAACAAAAACACAAGACTGAGTTTGAACTCGTGTGAAGGATACTTGTGTTGCATGAGATCATTTTAATTAGTTCTTTTCGGAAAAGCTAAATTACCTTACAATAAATACCATATGTATGTTGCAGAATTGCAAATTCATGAGGAACAACTCCAAATAGGTCATAAAGTTTGTCTAAATCAAAACAGTTTTCAAGGATTGTTTTGTTAGGTATTGAAATTACATAATACAGAATACATCTATTCAGCATATTCAGATGAGAAACTATTGGCAATTCATTCTGCGGGCAGTGTTTGCATCTTCTATGTATGGGTTACCTGATTCTTTGACAAAGTTTCTTACATCGATACACTAGCGACAGAAGCATTTGTAATGTGGGGGAAGCACACTGGTGTGTGTGTGTGTGTGGGGGGGGGGGGGTCCTCCCCCAGAAAATTCTGAATAAAGTAGATTCCATTTCCTGCATTCTGGTGCATTTAACGGGTTGTTAAACATCCACGTTTACCAACGTAAGTAAACACTTGATTCAATAACTATTTTAGAGAGCAACAAGAAGTAGTCTGACCAACAGCTGCCCTTGTGTGAATAGAGAACGCTTCACTTCTATCAAGCGTCCTAGGCCCCCACCCCCGCGTCAAAAACTGCTGGAACTAACATAGCGCTAAGCTTGCGGAATGCAAAACAGATGTGTTAGCCAAGATGCTACAGACATAGTGCTCCGCTTCTCTCACACATCCTAACCCTCCACTCTTGTCAACAACTGCCAGCACTAACGTGGCGCTAAGCTAGCGCGCAAAACAGAGGTGTCTCCCCCTCCTCCCCCTGTGAGCGTCCTGCCAAGGCAGATGACCGATGGGAAACACTGCTTGCGGTGTTTTGTTGTAGGTAACCAGGAAAACTAGTGGTTTGATTACTCTCCTATTCATCAAGTAGAATGGATTTGTTCATGAAGAAATAGAAACAGCACTGGGTGAACTAATATTTCAGGTCCGAATGATTTTTTTTTTTTTAATGTGGGGGGATTGTTGCGACGCCTATGCACCAATGAATGACTGAATAAATCAATGAATCAATATGGTTAGACTGGTAAGGAATTTTGAATATACTGTAGTTCAAAAAGTCAAAGTGAGCTTGATCCTGTTGGTGCAGAAATTCAAAATGAAAAGCAAAACAAAATCAAGTAACTCAATTCAGTCATCCCAAAGAACCAAAGCTATAACCTTTGCAGCACCACTGCAATCGTTACAGACTCCCCTGCAAACTGCTGATGTGACTTTGTGTGTTTGTTTTGCATGGTTTGGTGTGTATGTACGCCACTCTCCCACACTCTGCTGTGTCCTACAAACACACAGAACAACCTGATGACTATCAACTGCTTAAAAACAACACGGCCTCGAACTAAACCAAACAGCTACCCAGACATCTACTATCTCCTGCATCTAAACTACACATATGCACACGGGATCAGAGACCACATCATTTTTCAACTGTGTTTGCGTTTTGCGTTGTAATTGTATCAAATTGCAGTTTGATTGTAGCTGTTTGGAGAAAGAGGAAGGACGGGCTTTAAGTGGCCCCTCCTCGCTTGGTGCTGATTGGCCAGCTGGAAGACATTGTCTTGTTATTTCCTGCCTAATATTCAACACCGGATTTCACAAGCTGATAACCGAGTCACCAAACCTACAGGAGGTCCTACCTGAAAATTCACAAATAAGTTCCTTAGATAGAGAACTTTACTAATTGGCTTTTATGTATGTGAATGTTTCTGTAAAGTGCCCTGAGACAACTTTGTTGTGATTTGGCGCTATATAAATAAACTGAACTGAATTGTACAAAAAATGCACACACTGGATATGTGACAGCGCAGTTTGCTAGGTAACAAAGGATCAACTTTTAATGGCCAAGCATGTTTTGTGTGTACATAAGTTGCCCGTGTTTAACAACTGCTATCTTTTTTAATCGTGTGTTTTAATGGATACTTGTACTTTCTTAACCCTACTCTGTGTTTTAAGTCACTGTTAAGATCAGCATTGTATAATGTTTATGCATTTAAATTAAAAACCCATTTAAGTGGGTAAATTATTGTGTGAATTCTTATAAGCATTCACACAAATGCGATCTATTTTTATTCCATACAGTGTTAGGCGCCATTCTCGTCCCGCAGTTTTCAAGCTATTTCAACAAATCATATATCAAAACGTTTAGCTCGTTCAGCTAATTTCAGAATCAGCTTTATTGTCATTGCACTGAAGCACAACAAAATTACATTTCAGTACAGTCTGTCCGAGTAAAACATAAACAGACAGACATGGGGGACGGAGGTGTCAACTGTTTTTTTCAGCTGCTCTATGCTCCTTTCAGATTTGTTCAGCTAACTAAAATATTTTTGTACTTCTAACTTCTTTCTGCTAATTTCAACTTGTTATGCTCCTTTCAGCTTATTTCTGCAAGTTTCTGCTTTTTCCTGCTATTTTAGCTACTACTGAGTTGTTTATGCTAATTTGAGCCTTTTCAGCTAATTCCATATTTTTTGCGCTCATTTCAACTTTTTTCAGACTAATTCAGCAAAAATTAAAGCTTCTTCCTGATTTTTTTTAACTGCTTTTAAGCAGTTATTTGCTAATTTCAGCTTTTTCAAATAATTTCCACTTTTTTGTGCTCATTTCTGCTTCTTTCAACCTAATCGGGTAAACGTGTTCTTTCCGCTTTCAACTGTTAATGTAAGCTTGTTCTACCATTTCAGCTACCTTTTTAACTTTTTTTTTTAGCTAATTGCAGCTATTCTCAGATAAATTCAAGTTTTTCATGGTAATTTTTGCTACTTTCAACCTATGGTAATTTCAGCTTGTTATGCTCCTTTCAGCTTTTTTTCTGCTAGTTTCAACTTGTTATGCTATTTCAGCTACTATTTAGCTGTTTTATGCTAATTTCAGCCTTTTCAGCAAATTCTACATTTTTAGCTCATTTCAGGGTAGTTTCAGGTTCTTTCTGCCTTTTCAGCTATTTTTTTTGCTCATTTCAGCTTTTTTAAAACTAATTTCCTCATTTTTGTGCTAATTTCTGCTCATTTACACCTAATTCAGCTAAATGGGTTCTTTCTGCTTTCTTCTGCTAATTAAGGCTTGTTCTTTCATTTCAGCTACAATTCATCATTTTTTAGCTAATTTCAACTGTTTATCAGCAAGTTCTTCAGCAATAATCTGCTCACAGACTCATGTTCATGTTTGTGCTGATGTTCAATGTTTTATGTTATGAGTGTTTAGTGTATATTTAGTTGATGTTTTTCTTAGTTCATATCTTAGATGTTATTACTGTTTTTATTATACATTTTATTGTTGGATGTAACTGGGACCCCGTGTACATAATTTCGCTCCACCACATGTACCCCATGAGGTGCGAATGACAATAAAGAAACTCTGACTCTGACTCTGAATAAGCATTCACACTGAATTTTTGAAGGAAATGCAGTTTCTCTAGTTGTGTTTTTATTGTTACTTGTTTTTATCACTATTTTATGATGTGTGCCACTGACCTATTGGCCAGGTCATCCTTGAAAAAGGAATCTTGATCTCAACGGTTTATTTTATCTGGTAAAATAAATGTGATTATATTGTTTCTGTATCCAGTTCCAGAAGTGTGGTTTTGGTGCAGGTTGTACTCACGGGAAGTTGGCAACTCGAACAGCTACAGGCACAAAGGAGAGCTGTGCTGCCCACTTTAGAGTCACATCCTGGTAAACCAGCAGCATACTGGTGTGGTTACTGAGCAGCAGGTTCATGGTGCCATCTGTCACTAAATATCAGAAAAAGTAGGTTAGAAAGAAACACTGGGGTAATGTTATCTTTATTTAGAAAATTTCAGTTAGCTGTCATAAATGTGACTAACCGTACGTGAAGCAATAAAAAACGCTTTGCAATACCCCTGCAAATTAAAAGTTGTGCCCTTTCACAACGTCATAATGTCTCTTTAATATGAACATTAAAGAGACATCGTGGACCACACTGAGAACAATCTGACTCAATTAAATTCATATATCCAGTAATTTTTCCAACAGTTTCCCTTGGCCATTTTTTATTTAGGTTGTGTGTCTTGTGGCAAGAAAGTCAGCCTCAGTTTCATAGCAGCACAAATTTGAGGTTTTGTCTCTCATTCTTAGTTATAGAACACAGTGTGCATATTCACAAATCTAACAACCATCCACAGAAATAACAAATTCCTGTGGTAGGTACGCCTTTTTAGGATGAGGGCAGCTTGCACTTTCCAGTAGAGAAAAATCATCTTTTTTACATCTGGTTTGTGTAAAAAAAAATAAAAATAAAAATGTCATTTAGATCGTCCATTGTGAGACAAGGTCTGCCGTCGTAAATATACTGTAAATACAACCAAAGTTAATCACATACTTTCTCTGGTGACCCACAGCTGGAAACATAAAATATAAATAGTCTTTCTTTTTCGCTCTCTTTCACACATACAGATGAGGAGAAACGTCCAGTCAACCCACCAATAGTGCAGTTACCACCTAGTGAGATCTGAGGTGACGGCCACACGCAAAACAAAACACCTCACTGGCACACGGTTGAAAACACAAGTTATAATATAGTAGAAGTGGAAAGCAGAGTAAGAGAATACAGAGCAGGGGTAAAAATGATAGAGTGTATGTTGATGCCACATCAAAGCAAACACACGCACCTTATATCTCAACAATATTCCTTATAATTATGATCCAAATATAAAAAGGTACAATTAGTTGTTTTTTTCATATTTGAGCTGGGTTTTTTTAACCCTTCACTTTTTTTTTTTTTTATTCTGTGCACCTAAAAATGTTTTTCTCGTCCTCTTCCCTTCATTCATTTTTCTCTTGGCTGCTCTCTTGACCCCCCTCCAGCAGTTTTATTCTTCCTCTGTGTTTTTAAGCTTCACTTGTCACATGGTTTCTCTTATCCTCTTTCAGTCATTGAACATTTTTTGGTTTCATCTCTTCTCTTCCTGCCTTCCTTCCCTCAAGATGTATGAATAAGCTGAGGTGTAAAGAGAAAAAGAGGTTTGCATGCACAGAACATAAAACCACAAAGTGTAGAAGTTGCCAGGGAAAGTCTCCGTAAATTTCCTATAGTACTGTTTTTAATGATAAGAATATGATCTCACTGTTTCTTTTGACATGATCACGGACTTTTGAGAGATTTCTTTCTAGTGGATGTTCTGACTTTATAACATAACAGTTTTACACATACTGTAAGCTGTTACGTGACAAATTAAAGTCGAAGTCTCTACATCTCCACCCATTCTGTCAAAAGAAAGCCTGATGGTGACTAAACATTGTCAAACAAATCAAAATGTAAAAAAAAATCCCCTACGTTAGTTTAGTTAAAACTTGATTATGAAAATAAACGTCTATGACACAGAATTTTACTTTAATAAAATTCATTAAATAATCAATAGGATACCTCAATTAATTAGTCATCAGTTTATGGCGTTTCCAGAAGTGATAATCGGAGTGTTTTTTAAGGAGATGTAATTTTCTTTTTTGTTTTGTTTTTTTTTTTTTTTACAGGAACTGAAGCCAAAACTTGTACTTGACAAAACCAGGATGATGGATGGGAGAAGATGATGAAAGTGACAGAACTGGTCTGACTGAGGCAGCTGGGGCTGGAGGCCAGAAGAAAAGCATTAGGAAAGCTGCAATAAATTTGTGTTGTCAGTGCTCCTCTCTGTCACACTCCACTTTGAGAAAAACACCAAATATCCTAGCTATGGTATATCAATACTGTTAACGAATAGTGGGTGGCAACTCATATACTCACAGTGTCACTGAAACTCTGTCTAATAATACAGTGCAATCAAGTCAAAGTTGACACTGAAGACAGCAGATTCAAATCTTCCAGCCATGTGAGAATGTTTTTTTTTTATGTAGCCAATAAATATTTATTATAATTTTCTATAAATGTAAAAATATATTATACATTTATATGAATCTCTCTTGTAAAAGAGTCCCCGAGGCTCAATGGGATTAACCTGTCTAAATGAAGGTTGAAAAAAAATTTTTTTTTTTCTTGCTCTCGGTGGAAGGCAGACGCGTCCTCCTCTGCTCCATCCCTCGCTCCGTCCCTGCCTTGCTCTTTGTCTTGTGAACCTTTTTCAGAGTCCCTTTTGTTTTGCATACCTTCCAAATTGTCTTGGATGTTATGGAAACAAAGACGCTCTGTCCCCCTCCCCATCACTTCCCTTAACCAAGGTCGTGGACCTGTGACAGAGCTCAACCAAGATGGCTGATAAACAAACACCTGTTATCAGGACTATGGCTGGGATGGGGCTCTGGACTGTGCTGTGCTATGACCTTCCCTCAAACTCACTGCTTTCACTGGACTCCCTCACCTCCCCTGGCGTAGCAACCTAGGAGATGCGAAGGCGCCAAGGGCTACGTCGCTCACCTGGCAGCCATGCTGGGACCCCCACCCCCTACCCACTCCACACGGATATGCATTATGTCTATTTATGTTGCTTTGCTGTGGTAGATTTTTTTATGCCTCAAATCGTGCCCTGTCAAGGACACTGTGTGAGAGATCTTTTATTTTTATATACCTCTCTCCTTATGTTTTCTTCCCCCTTTCTTATCTAAGCAACAGGGGCAGCGCATCTTAGAAGCTAAAGCCCCCTGTACACTTCTGTCCATCTTTAGGGCGGCTGTACGGAACATAATTTTGTTGTACTTCACTCTATAAGGATAATAAAAAGCATTCTAATTCTGAATATTAGGAACTAAATACATCTTGTACAAAAAATACAGTCAATATCCTTGTATAGCCAGGGTCCACCCACTTCTGCAAAAATGTTTGCGTCATACAAAAAGTCTAAAAACGTGGTTTACCTGAAGCATAGGGTAGGAAGCAGCTGGGGTTGAATTCCAGTTTCTTCATGAAGCGGATCTGCCCATTGTCACGGAAACAGAAGAGGTTTCTCTCACCCAGCACAAGGATTGAGGAAGAGGAATGGGAGAAGGAGGGCACCAAAACATCCAGGGCCTGTTCTCCTAGTACAAACGTCCAGTCAGGCTGGAAGAAAACACATAAAAGAATTAAAACAGACTGCCAGAACTCCATAAGTTTTAAAATATGAACCTTATTACAAACTAGAAGTGTGCTATCTGAATAGTCTTTAATAAATGTATTAAAGGTGTATATTTATTTTCGCATATTCTTATTTGGACGAAGATGTGAACACTTGATTTACATAGAAGCTTGTATGTGTGTGCAACTAACACAGCTCTTGTGATAAACTTTAGATGTAGCACAGTATACAACTTGGATCCCTCCAGTGTTTTTGGTCAAGACAAGAAGCAAACACTTCTGTCCATCTGCATTTGTGTTTAGGACTCACTGTGAGCCTCTTGCCTCCAGTTCTGAGGGGCAGGTCAGAATCCTGTTGACTCTCTGCATCTGTAGCCACAGCCAGAGTCTCATACCTGAGAATCAAAAAGAAACAAACCCCCATTCACACAAAGACACTGTATGTATACTACTATTGAGTATTAGAGCGCTGTTTCCTGCCAACTGTTTCTCGTGTTGAGTTTGCTGAGGCGTTCTTGTTGTTGGCACACCAAAATCTATCTTAGATGAGCCAAACAAGGACATTCTCATCCAAAACTACAAACATTAAATTAATATCATCTCTTCTTTACAGTTAATAAAATGATGCCTCTAAATTTGAGGTATTTTCTTCAAGTTTGGGTTGCTAAAAGTAATTCATAAAAATGTCACATTTTCATTCCAGTTAGGTCAATTTTGCACACGTTTTGTTAATACTAATTTGTATCGTTTGGCAGTGAGCTTCTCTTATAAAAATAATGTTCTTGAACTTTTTCTATCAGATTAAAAGGTCAAATCAAACATTTTGATTGAGAGCCTAAAATACCAACAAGACACCATTTCCTTCAATAAAATCTACTCTTTAATTTAAAAGATAAATACAGTTCATATGCATATTAAATAATAACAGCAAACATTGTGCAACATGTTTAAAATCAACAAAATCTTTAAGCACTTATATTCCCTTCATACTGACTTCAGTCAAATCAGTCAACACTGCACTGACCCAACTTTCTTCAGAAGTGTAGTTTATCAGTTTTGATCAGTAAGTTGTTGGCAAAAAAGGCAAAAATAAAAAGGTCGGACTAATGGTGGTGAGTTGACTTTGGCATTTGTAGCATCAACCAATTTCCAGTAAGAAGCTGGCAGAAGGAGCAGCTTGGCGGGAATCTATCTTTCTTCACTACCACCTGGTTGACCTGAGCGATCTAAACCCAACCCAGCCTGACTCTGAACCACAAAATAACTGCTGATCTATAGACTCCTTCTATTCTCTCTGCAAAATCTGTACAATAAAACTGTCAACAGTCAAAAGTGGACAGTTTGAAATACACCTAAAACCACAATAGCCACAAATCATTAAGACCGTCACTTTATAGATTCTTGGTTTTTTTTTTGTTTGTTTGTTTTTCTAAAAAAAAAAAAGTTAAGTCTGGTCCTCTGGACATTTTGAATGTCCAGAGGACCAGACTTAACTTTTTTAGATTTTTCTACCTGGATTATTGAGCATGCATCAGGATATTTTTTTTTTGTTTTTGTATGCTGTTTTATTATTTTTATATTACGGTACATCCTTTGTGCAATAATACAATATGTACATTGTTTTTAGATTTTCTTTTTTCTTTGTATTGATCAGAATTGGAACAAAAAAAAAAAAAAGCTAACGTGAAAAAAAATAAAATGCTTAAATTACAGAGAAAATTGCAACCGAGTATCCAGTATTCATCACCATTTTCTGTGCACAAACTTTTGATATCTACTTAAATACTCCAGTCTAATTTAAGACCAAAGACCTACATTGATAATAAAACGAGCTCATTTACTTGTCATATATTTTGGAATATATGCTCAATCTGAAATGATGCTGAACTACAACTTTTATCATGGTAATCTGGTATGGTATGGTATGGTATGGTATGGTATGGTATGGTATGGTATGGTATGGGATGGTATGGTATGGTATGGGATGGGATGGTATGGTATGGTATGGTATGGTATGGTGTGGTATGGTATGGTATGGTATGGTATGGTATGGTATGGTATGGTATGGTATGGTATGGTATGGTAAGGTATGGTACGGTGTGGTATGGTATGGTATGGTGTGGTATGGTATGGTGTGGTATGGTATGGTATGGTATGGTATGGTATGGTATGGTATGGTATGGTATGGTAATTAAAAAAAACGCTGCTGCATGTATGCATATTAACCCTTTTATTTAACCAGGAAAATCCCATTGAGATTTTCCTCGATATCTCTATGTTGACAGTAGAATTGTTTATTGTTGAGCTAAAACAGTTGCTAAGGTTTTCCCAGCTTCAGTTTGCATTTGACATCATTCAGTCAGACGTGTTCTGTCTCAAACTGGTGCTAAGTGCTAATAAAACGAAGGTGATGTTGTTTTCAAACAGAAAGTTGGTGCCAACAGTTCTTTCTCCTATCTTCTCAACGCATGGTGCTCCTATTGAGTTTGTAGATTCTTACAAATACTTGGGAATTTTAGTCGATGCACATCTCTCTTTTAAGCCACGTGATGAAAACTTGATAAAGAAACTGAAATTAAAACTGGGCTTTATTCTCAGAAATAGAACTCTGAATTGTTAGAAAATGCCTTGTAACTGCTTCTTTCCTACCGGCCATTGATTATGGTGACATTATTTACATGAATGTCCCTGCCAGCTCCTTGCAGATGTTGGATGCTGTCTATCACGCTGCGCTAAGATTCATAACTGGTTGTAACTACCGTACCCGTCACTGCACTCCGTACTCACTGGTGATTTGGTGGTCATCATTATCTACACGTAGACTCACACTGGTTCATTGTCATCTTTAAATCACTCCTTGATCTGTTACCTTCTTAAATCTCCTCCCACATGTCACACCGTCAGTGCAGTTACAGCGTGCACTCTCAGGCCATCATTACCTGCAACGTTCTCTCAGTGCAGATTGAATTCAGCAAAAAGGCCTTTTCTTACTTTGCTCCTGTAACCTGGAACACCTTGCTAAGATCTGAAGCTGTCCACTTTGATTTACTTAAGGGATTTTAAGCAGCTGATAAGGTCAATAGAAAATTCAAAGCAAATACGTCCTTGTTTTTAGTATTTTACCTTGTTTTATAGGGCTCCTTGATATTCTTGTTTTATAACACTACTTTTATTTTAATTACATTTTATTGTTGTATAATGTTGTCTGTACTTTATATGTTGTTTAAAACAGATCTCTCTTGAAAATGAGTCCTCATGGCTCAATGAGACTAACCTGTATAAATAAAGGAATGTGATCACAGATATATTTTGCAAGCGAGCAGCCTAACATACATGTTCTGGAATCTGAACTGTGGGAGGAAACCAGGGTACCAGAAGAAAACCCATGCAAACATGAGGTGAACATACAAACTCCACACAATAAACACCTCTGACCCAACTCCGGGTCTAAACCTAGTACTTTCTTGCTGTGAGGTATCAATGCTAACCACTAATCCGCCATCCTGCCCATACAAGGTTTTCTCTAAGTACTTTGGTTTCTTCCTATAGTTTAAAAACATGTTTATTATGGTAATTGAGAACTCAAAATTGGCCATAGGTGCAAGTGTCCATGTGAATAATTGTCTTGTTTGTCTTCATGTGTGGCCCTGTGAAAGACTAGCAGCTTATCCAGGGTGTTCCCCACCTCTCACTTATATGGAAATGAATGGATAGAAAAAAGAAACACACATTGGAGCTGCATATATTTATTTAGGTTTCAGTTAGATCAGCGTCTCAACTCTCGAGACTTCTGCAACAATCAAGATTATTCAGCATTATTCTGATGAAATGTAAGAAAAATATATAAACTCTGGTGTGCTAGGCGTTCCTAGTATTTGTCAAACTTTAAATGTACAAAACGAGGGCGTCTAAAAGTTTGATTTTTGCGATACAACTCGTGATTTATAGTTTTGAACTCATCTGTACAGTAGCAGTTCCTGCTGAGCCTTCTAAAAGACCAGTAAGCAGACTAATGAGTTTTATGGATGACTGCCAGTAAAGAAACTTTTTCATCACGCTGTGACCATTTCCTGGAGAGGAAAACAGACTAAAAAATATATTAAATATGTCAGGGTCTTTTTGTGTTTAAAGAAACATTCAATGAATTGACAGGCTCACCCTTGCATGAGTGACTGAATTAAATAAGGAAAAATTATACTGAAATAATAATGTAAATATAACTATATAAATAATATAAAATAACTGAAATCATTCAGCCTGCTTTGATATTTAAATTCAACATGTCATCTAGCTGTTTCAATAATGACTGGATAGGAGGAAGCATGGTTGATTTAAAAGTAAGTGTGCAATAATTTGTCTGTGAATGTGTGTGCATGTGTGTGTGTGTGTGTGTGTGTGTGTGTGTGTGTGT